AAAATAATTTATTTCACTTTCATTTTATATTTAAATGAAACAAACAAAAAAAAACTTTCATACTAGGAAAGAGTATTCGTGCAACCATTCCTATTCAAATATAATAAAAAAAGACTTAAACTATTAATAAAATAAATAACTTACCAGGAAATACCATAAGAAATAATGGTAAAAATTTTAATAGGCCTGCAAATAGACAACCTGCTCTTGCATGTGATATATTTTTTGCTGCTAATGTTCGTTGAACAATGACCTAATTTTAAATAAAAAATTCATATTAGTTTTTCATTTTTATTAAATTTTATTTACTTGATCACAACCCCAATACCATATAGAACCAATTGCACCACCAATTATCATACCAAACCATGGTAAATCAGCATCAAATGGACGAATTAATGAAAAATAATTTTCATTTGGAACACCACATTCAGTAGTACTATATAATGTTGTATTAGCAAGAGCATATGGAAAAAGATTTCGTACTTGTTCAAGACCACCAACTCTTATAAAACCTATTTCAAATGATTAATAACAAAATAATATTAATTTTTATATTTCTTACTAATAATCATAAGTATAAAAGCAGAAATAATCATAATTATTGTTTGAATAAAATCTGTCCAAATAACTGCTGTTAAACCACCTATTCAATTTATATTTAAATTAAAAGAATCAAAAAGATTTTTCTTTATATTTACCTCCAACAGTAAAACAAGCAGCTAGAAGAGTAAGAGCAATAACTGACGCATAAAGATTCCAATTAAGTGCTTGTTGAAGAAAAACAGCACCAGAATAAAGATCAACAGATATTTTTGTAAATATTGATAACATTAAAGCAAGACATGTTAAATAAATTCGTATACGTTCACCTCCATAGCGCATTTTTAAATATTGAGGCATTGTATATACCTATTGTATATATACACATTCTTTATTTATACAGAAACTCTGAAAGTTAGTCGAATAGATTTATTTTTCAATTTTTTTCCAATGTCATAAACACTAAGAAGAATTCAAACAGAGATTTGAATAACGAATTTTATTTCTAAGAAGAATTTTTGAAGATGAAAATGATTACTAGTTTCCTAAGACTAGAGCCTCTGAACAATCGAAAATCACATTATTCAACTCTTAGAATTCTGTTTTGGATTAGATAGAATGATAAAGCAAGTAATTCTCTACAAAATAAAATGACTTCAAACTCTTTACGACGTTTTTTTGACTGAAGTACGTCACCCTTATAGAAGGTATAAAAGTCGTTTGTCCTGTTATTTCGTTTAGAAACAATTATTTAGGTGCTTCCCATAATATTGATGTATCTCAGTCAAAAAGCATCGTAGAGAACAGAAGGATATTTCATTTTGTAGGGAATTGTTGGCTCTATCTATCTAGACTATTTTCAATTCGTTTCAGTGCTTATGATAACGAAAAAAGATTAAATAAAATAAATGTGGTTGAATGATTTTCGGAGTCCTGTATATACATAAAGGGTGTTTCATAATAACTGTCCCGGTTTTGTTAACAACAGTTTTTATACTTTTTTTGGACCGAGTGAGCTGAAATTTTTACCACATATATATCTATCCATGTTCTTTAATTTCTAAAACTTTTAGCTCTCTAGCTAAAGCTATTGACGAAATCCATTGACTGGACTGAAGTGTATTGATTTTTACATTCGATTCCTGTAGTATTTTTTTTCTTGAGTAATGATTTTTATTAGCAATCGATAAAAGTAATTTTACAATACAATCTTTCTTCGAAAACGTAAGATATTACAAAATAATCAATGTTTATGAATATGTTCTCCATTATTGTCGATAATCAACTGTAATCGATAGGGTATTTCGTCCATCATTTTTTCACATTGTTCTTTCGAAAAATTTCGCCATTCTTTTTCAACTTCCTTTTCTAATTCTAAGACCGTGGCAAATACCTTCCCACGGAGCTTTTCTTTAAGTGCTCCCCACACATTTTCTATCCTCCAAACATCGGCAAATTTAGCATCGCCATCTGCTGGTTCTATACGTTCACCAAAAAGTTCTGCAACTGTCTCTCTTACTAATATTGTTCGTTGTTTTTGATCTTGGTCGTCGTGAAAAATAGGATTTAGTTTACATTCCCGAAATATGGTCTTGATTGCTGGAGCTGCCTTTTCTGTTAAAAATTTGGCGTACAACTGGTTTGTTAAATATACTCGTTTTCGTTTATCATGACATGGAGTACGTTGTTGTTCTAACCATTGAGTAACATTTATTGGTGCACGTGATGGTATTAGACCTTGTGATGATATTGCTCCCCAAAATATAATTCCTTTTTGAAATTTTTCCGTTTGTGCATTAATTAAGCCAGCTTCGATTTCTTCACCTTCTCTCGCCCACATTCCATCATTTCTTCTATTTTGAAAACCTTGAAAAGTGAATAAACCAGAGAAGTCGCAATTGACAATACGGTTCCATTTCCACTTGTTCGAATTTTTCCTAATACCAAATTTGGATCTTAATGCTTTTGCACATTTAACACGGTTCTTTTTATCAATATCGCTGAGTTTCTGTGATTTTTTCTTCTTATACCATTTTAAATTTAATGCTTTCACTGTTCGATAAATGGAAGTTTCCGATGATGTAAAACCTTGTCTTTTAAGTATGGCATCTGTTTTTCTAATAGAAGCATTTTTTTTCAATCGCATACATTTATCAACATTTTTACGAAATTCGGACGTTGTGACTGTTACTGGACGACCGGATCTTTTCTTGTCGTTAACGGTTTCTCTTTTTAATATTCGAGATACACATTTGTAAAGTGATGTGTACTTCAAATGTGGTGGATTATCAGAATTTTGAATAAAACGAGCAATACGACCAACACTCCATGTTGAGTTGAGACTTTTTAGATTCAATACAAAACTTCTAAAATTTTTCCTATCGTCGTAAGTGATGGACATTCGTGTTGAAATTCGTTGTTAAATATAACAAGCTCTACCCATAAATATACTTTTATATGGTTGTATTAAATCTTAGTCATTTCCAATCGGACGATGATGATATTCGCTGACGTCTTCGATTTCTTCTTTCTCTTACTCTTTTTTTCTCTCCCTTTTGTTCTTTTCTGTTTTGTCGCTCATACTCTGTTATATAAATTTGTCTGGATGTGTATATATCAGAGACATATTCTAGGGATGTGAAGCAGTTAATTAAATGTTCCTATAGAAGACGAAGGCAAAATAATTCCTACGATTTGTCGCTAAAATTCTATCATGATTAGTGATGATATGGAAATAATGCAGAAATCGAATGCAAAAATCAATACACTTCAGTCCAGTCAATGGATTTCGTCAATAGCTTTAGCTAGAGAGCTAAAAGTTTTAGAAATTAAAGAACATGGATAGATATATATGTAGTAAAAGTTTCAGCTCACTCGGTCCAAAAAAACTATAAAAACTGTTGTTAACAAAACCGGGACAGTTATTATGAAACACCCTTTATATTTCATTATGTACAATACCTCTGCTTTCATATAAACTGGTACAAATAACCAACCAAGTACCATAAGGATATAGATCGCCTATTATATATAATACATATATATTTTGATAAGAAAGCATCTTTCTTTTTAGTATTTCCTACTCCTAACTCAAATCCAGCAACTGCTATACCACTCGAAGCACCAGAACCACTTAGACCAATAAAATGACCACTGCCAATGTTTGATGCAAATAAGGAAGCGCCCACCTATAGATATGTATAGTATTAACAAAAATTCTATATAGTTCGCAAATTTTACCGGTATAAAATGCATCGAACGGCCAGCAAGAAAATATCCACCTAAATCATTTATTGTAAATAGAATAAAAATTTTATAGAACAAATCCCAACTTTAAATTTCTATACTAGGCAAAGTTTACAAGAGAACATTTCCAAATAACAAATCGCTTTTTGTTTGAGACTATTACCATTCGGTCGGTCATGAGGAGTAATGAAAAAAATTCTTTTTAGTTTGGTTTTTTAGCTTTCGCTTGTTGAGTTAAGGGCATTTTATTCGATTTTTCTCTAGAAGCGTACGATCACTGTAAACTTCGATCGTCGAATTTCAAGCTGAAATTTTGTCTATCGATAGACCTTATAGGCACTAGAAAGAATCTTAAATTTGACTTAGGACAAACGTATCCATATTGAGGTATCAACTCATCATAAAAATAATTATCTTTCTTTTGAAACACAGCCTAAAATAGACGTTTCTTTAGAATGCAAATATCTTAGCACGAAATTCAATAAAACAGATTCTTAACGATCCTATGCTCATAAGTCAAGAACCGAGTAAAATGCCTTTAACTCAACAAGCGAAGATCGGATAGCCAAACCATAGCAAACTTTCTTACTACTCATCATGATCGATCGAATGACAATAGTCTCAAGTGAAAAGTGATTGAATAGTTAGGATTGTCTTCTTATCAACTTAGATATGAAAGAGTTTAAGAAACTTTAGTATTGAATTCTAAAACTAGTGCTTTGTAATTAAGAAAATTGTAAAGTTTTAATCAAAAATTTCTTTTCATTATTATCATCGAGTTTAATGATAAACTTTATATATTTGCTCACCAATACTTCCACGATTCTTGCATGAACTCTAAAATCAACTAAACAATAATTAATTAGAAGAAATTTTCAATCTGACATACCCAAACTCCAAAACCAAGAATAAGTAAAAAATAAAGTAATAAAACTAATATATCAGACCAATGAAGTGCTGTTCCAATCACAGCAACCATGTTTTACTTTTACTTTGAAATGTGTATGTGTCTTTATCATTTTACCTTTATTTTCTATTGTATAAAAAGATAATGAATAGATCAACAAATATGATCTTTTACTCAATAGATGTTCTTCAAGATTATCATTTTATTTCTTTCATATAAAAGTTACGGCAAAACATTAATGATAGGAAATTAAGAAAAAAAAACAAATGAAACTGACATTTTTTATCGAAATAAAAGGTTATTATCATAAATATGTATTAATCTTTTCATTTTTAAAATAATAAAGATAATAAATATAATTTCCAAGTCGTGTAATAAATAAAGCTTTTGCTAATTTTTTTTCAAGTTCATTTGTTAATTCTTTTGTTGATTTATCTGAATCAGGTTTTACTTGACGATATTGTTTAATAATCTATTAATGAAACATGAAAAGCTATGAAGTTAGGAAAATGTTTTAAAAATCGTCTTTCTTCTTATATCTGTAGTCCCTTTGAGGTGAAACTTTCAAATAAGAAGGGCTATTGATTGAGACAGATATAACAAACAATCCAGTTTACTATGTTATTCACTCTTTGAAAAAAGATTTAAGGACAAAAACGCACATTTTGCTTATATCTTGAAAAATTCATAACTCCTGCTAGAAGCAACTTGGGGACGAACTACCTTAGAGTATATTGCTCATAGCTATGCTCTATCTAATCATCACATTCGCGACTTAAAAGCTTTTTAGTACCTCGAGTAGATCCCTCGTTAGAGGTACAACACATCTAATAATTCTATACATAAATATTTGTTGCAGAATGAATTTATTTTAATTAATATTGTAGTAAAATTTAATTCTCAAGATTATGTGCTGAGCAAGATCCTAACATTCGTATCTTTTTTTTCAAAAAAATGTTTAGCTGTTAATTTCTATGCAAAAATAAAGATTACACGAGTAGTTCGTAAAAAAAAATTTACATGATGTATAAAATGGTCAAAAAGTCACTTGATGATCTTTGATTCCGAATCACTTTTGATCAGAAGAAGATAGAGAGCGGAGATATGTATCACGGCAAGCTTTTGGAGAAAGTATTACAGCGCGATAGGTTTTTGAAAATATCACAGTAGCGGCAGCCTAATTTTTCCGAACATCATGGCACGGCAGTGGCTCAATTTTGACGAGGTTTCTCTTTTTTAAAGAAATCTACAACAGTCTTCAGGTCGGGTCAGGTCAGGCCGAGTTACGAAAAAGTTTTTGGATTTTAGCATGGATCTGCAGTCTGAATATTTTGCAGATACAAGAGACATTTTGTATATTTTTTTCATTTAAAAGTTCTATAAGGGAGAGCGGAAAAGCTTAGTAGAATAAGAAGTTATGTATTGCACGATGTTTTCTACGACTTCGCCAACTTTTCTTTCTTGACATTGGACAAAAATGCATACCACGTGAACAGTCTCTTCAGTGGTGATATAAAGGTTGTAGGCCGTATACATAAGAAAAGAAAGACAAACAAGAAAAAAATCTACCATATAATCGTTTTATCCCAATCGAGGAATATCATCGGAATATCAAGAATAAAAAGAGGTTCAGAACATATTCTTTGTGGGTGTGGGTGTATCTGAATAGGAGATCTACACTCACACCTGCACCCATACCAACACCCAGACCGTACATTCACTCCCAATGCGGTATACGGCAAAGTTGCAGCGAAAAATACCGATGGCTGTAACCATCATCCTTGGTAGAGATTTTTTATTTGATTCTGCTGAAGAAAGTTGGGTGTCGGTGCAGATATTGATCTTGTCTTGATTTCTTCACATGAAGTTTCCTCCATCCACATCCACACCCTCAAGAAGACGTGTGTGTGATGTATATTATCAACACATCAAGAGATGTATGCACTTCGAAAAGAACACGACCGAGTTTCTCTATTTGTCGATGAATGATAGAGCAGATAGTGGTTCACGATGACGATGTCAGAAAAAATATTATCTGAGTCACACTTACGGAGAAAGACAAGACTGTTAATAACTATCTCATTTTACCTGAGTCGAAGATAAAAATGGTGACAAAAAGCTTATACTGCTGCTTCTTATTCTTTGCTATCAGGTAATTAATATTTGTTCCTTGATCTATCTTAGAGTGTTAAAAATAATCTCTGATTTTAGTCTGTCAGGTATTGTTGTCGCTTCTTTTCACTTGTTCAATCTCTAATTCTATCTATTGACAGTTCGAGTCGAACCTCAACGATGTCATGGATTAGCTCAATACGATCAATGTTCAACGAACAGTGCATGCGGTTGTTTTCATTCTAGTCCTACTACTGATAGTGGCATCTGTGGTTTCCGCTGGTTAACGTGTTCTGAACTTGTTTCGTGTGCACCTAACACTAATATATGCTTCGAACCTGATCATGTTTGTGTTCACCATCCTGAATGTGACAATCTGTCATTGTGTTATCCGTTGTCGATGGCCAGCGACGAACTATGCCCGCCGATGTCATCATTAACAACACCAAGTGAGTCGAATCACAATATTTTTCGAAGTTAAATGACCATTGTATTCTGCTATATAATTCGACATTATTGATTTCTATCATCATTTAGATCATTTAACTTCATCTTCTCCGTTGGATTCGAACGGTGAAATTTGTTTGACGGCGACATGGGCTTCGAATGGAATCACTGTTGCCGGTGGAAAGAATTTTGGGTCCGATCTCGATCAGTTGGCTGATCCCTATGGAATTTTTCTTGATGCTAACGATACGATTTATGTGGCAGATCGTTCTAACCATCGTATCATCACATGGGAACAAGGTGCTTCGATTGGTCAGTTAGCTGCTGGCGTGAAATGGGAAAATAATCGTAATCTGCTATTAAATATGCCGCAGGATGTTGTTGTTGATAAAGACGGAACAATGTACATTACTGATGGGGGTAATTGGCGTGTTCAGCGATGGCCTCGTGGTGCTCAAGACGGAGAAACGATGGTTGACAACATCCAGGCTGTCGGCATAGGACAAGATGACGAAGGATCGATCTATGTGTCTGAGTACGCAAATGGTCGATTAACAAAATGGCGTGTGGGTGAGACGACTGGACAAGTGATCCCCACAAGATTGCATCATTCCAACTTTTTGTTTGTTGATCAAGATCAATCCATCTACGTGGTGGGTTATATGAGTCACCAAGTTGTGAAAATAACTCAAGGAAGTGAAGAAGCCGTTATTGTTGCTGGTCGATCTGATGACTCAGGTAACGGTGCAGACCAACTAGCTTTCCCGACAGGTGTTGTTGTCGATCAGTTGGGTACTGTCTATGTAGCTGACACTCAGAATCATCGAATAATGCGTTGGCCGAAAGGGGCAACATCAGGTAATCTGATCGTTGGTGGTCGTGGCCCTGGTCCTGAATCCGACCAACTTAATTATCCTTCTGATCTATCATTTGATCGATACGGAAATCTATACGTGACCGATACTCTCAATAATCGTGTGCAAAAATTTATCATCGACAAAAGTTCATGTCAGAAAAATGAGGAAAATACATCCTCTCCCCACAATTGATTGTTGCTCTTTTATATGCATACAAGAAGAAAAGATAGTAAAGCGATAACATACAGCTCTTTCATGCTATTATTTTTTTCTCGAAATATCGTAATATGATCCCAATAAAGTTGCTTCCATGAATCTATGAATTAATAGCGCTGATTTTAAGACAATGTTGGAACGAAGTAGATTTGCTTATCTCTTTTTTTTTGTTTGTTTACCGTTTATTAAATTCTTAATCCTAGTGTAATGCACTCTCAGAAATAGAAATGACTGTTAGATGAAGCAAACATGACAACTGGTTGAACGGAGAAGGACAATTGAACAAAAGAAATGAAATCAAAACGCATCCAACTTGGAGCACGTAATTCAAAATCTACTATGGCGATTAGTATAAAAATTGTTTATTTTTTCACTCTCTATGACAATGTATTGTTAATCGCTTTTGCTATTTTCGATGTTAAGAACAGGAACATAATGACGTTTGTTAGAATGTTAGTTGTTTATTGTGAAAAGTGTTTTAGATACAGAAACCTTTTACGTTAACCAAAAACTTGTCAGTGCGCAGCCTCAAGAGGAGCCAAAGTGTAAAATTAACAAACTCTGACTGTTATATATTTATGATACATTATTAGAGGGATGAAAATAAGTTATTCAAAAAAAAAAATCCAAATAAATTAACAAATCGAAATTATGACAATACTCATAGTTGATACGCACGCCTTGCAATTTTATTATTTCGAAAATATTTGCATTTAAAATTCTTATTCTAACAATTTATTAGATTCACTTAATATCGCCATAGTGAAAAAAAACTTATTTCCATTATCAAATACATCTTTAACGCATAACTTTTTTTCTCTTAATAATAATATATACGATACACGCTATAGGAAGTAGTAAATATAATTTTATTCTTTGTTTCATTGGTTCAACTGCCATATTAGCCTATTATACACATTGATTTAATCCTTCATTAAGCTTTCAAGCACATCATCCTTTCTATCCACGAAATTTTACACATAATATTGAGCTTTACCTAAACTTAAAATTCAATTAGTTCATACTTTTCTATGTTGGTCCTTTTCTCACTCTCCTAGATCAATAAAACCACCGTCCTACTGATGGGTACCTGCAACAAGATAATTTCGCTGCATTACTGACGTAGTGGATGCGCTGTGGGCAATATAAGATCAACACTCACATCCACACCTTAAAATTGAGGAAACATCATTTTTGATTGTTATTACAACGTTGTAGTTCTGGAGCAACAAGTGGAGTGACCATAGCAAGTATTACTATCGGGTGTCCCAAAATGTTTGCACACTTCTTATTTTGCATATATCTCATCATAGACAAATAAGAAAAATATTAAAATTTTGTTAAGTCAAAAGGAAACATCTCGAAAAATTTCTACTTTCTACCACAGTAACGAGTCTCTCCTTCTTCCTTCCGATTAGTATTTTTGAATTTTCTCTACTATTTTCGGTTCTATCCAAATATTTTTTTTAATCAAAATGTAGCGCTTGAATTTCTCTACGAAACTACGTATAACTAAGTCCAAGGCCTGTTTAAAACATATATTCAGTTTTTAGTGGGTGTTTTCATAGTAGTAGCTTGGTTTTTGTTCGTGCAACCAGAGAACTACAAAAAAAGAATAGTTGATCATGGAGATCTCGAATTACTCTACAAGATTTGTTTGAGGAAGGTGGTCGAAGCTTCGCTCCGAAAGAACGTTTTAGAGTTCACAAGAGTGATCGTATCTTTTCTTCTAGGAAAGGTAGGATCCTTAGGGTGTGAGTGTTGTAAGTTTTTTTGCGAGCGAAATTTGTCCATGTTGAGACATATGCAAAATAAAAAGTGTGCAAACATTTTGAGACGTCCGATATATTCGAAGAAGAATCAGAAATTCATAATGAATTTAAATATGAAATACAACAAAATTGTTCTCATCTTTCGTTATGTATAAACGTTTTTTTCAAATAGAAAAGAACAATAAAATATGTACAAAAGCAAAAAAACAACAACATCTAGTTCATCGAATCTTCATTGTCGTTCGAATCATTTTGTTGAAAATTATCTACTGATTGACGTGTTGAACGACTGCAAAAAGATTGAATATCTATTTAAATCAAATAAAAACCTTGAAAAAAAAAGTACTTTTTATGAGGCGATGACACATTCGGTTGATATACTGGCGATGTTGGACTAAAAATAAACAAGTCTCGATTATTATTCAACATAACAAATCGTAAAAACAAACGTATAGCGAGATGATAATTGAGATGAAGAATACATTGATGAGTTTGGACTAGAAACACGAGAAAAAGTGTTTTTTTTAGATTACAAACGAAATCATTTAAGTACCCGTATTGTGGTGACGTTGGAGAATAGATCAATGATGCGCTACTTCTATCATGGTCACGTGCTGCAAACATCGGTGATGTTGAACCTTTAAAGGAAAAAAATTTATGAAATACAACAATCAAAATAAACGAAAATGACTTTTACTGTAAGATGAACTCGATGGAGAATACACTGGACTTTGAGAATAATAGTTCGGTGATGATATTCTAGTTGAATACGTCGATAATGATGGAGAATAGCCTAAATATTGTACAAAAGTTATGTTAGATAAAGTAACATAAAAAATATGTGTCTCACGTGGAATGATTGGAGATGTTGGAGAATAACTCAAACTAAACAGGTTAATCATCAAAAAATAATAATAATAATAACAAAAAGAAGAAAACTGACTTCGTCGAAGTATATTTCGGTGGTATTTCATTATTTAAATTGTTCGATAATGGACTGTTTACTGAAGAAATTGGTGAAATTGATGAATAAAATCGATCGGATGAAAACGATGGAGAAGTTTGACCTAATGATTACAATGCTTTGAAAAGATTTTCAATGTAAAAACAAAAAGAAACAGACTATAGTAAGGACTGGTCGGTGAATAGAAGGATGATGTTGATCCTTGTTTTCTAGAAGCATCCAAATAAGTAGGACTGGTGACTGGATTGTACGATGGACTTGTTGGGCTATTCAACAAATCAATGAAAACAAATAAAAAAAAAAGAAGATAAATACCTATAAGGAATTGATTTCAATCCATTATAATTAGATGTACTTGAATCATAGTAGTCTGCACTTGAACTATTATATGGTGAGCTTGGTGAGCATCGTGGTGATTGAAAATTGTACGAAGCAAGATTTGTAGATGACGATGGTGACATATAACCTAGTGAAGTCATTGAATAGTTAGATGAAAATCTTTCAGAACCCATCAATGTCATTGGAGTTGCTCCTGATAAATGATAAGATTCATATAATGGACTAGTTGCAATCGATTCAATCCAAGGTGTAGATGTAATTAAACGTTGTTGAGTATATTTTTTCATAGCATCTGGAGACATTATTTCTTGAAAACTATCGATGTTCATTATTGGTAATTCCATAGCTGATGCACATTTTTTGACATCCAAAATAACTTCAAAAGCACCTGTACCAATTTTGGCCAATTGTCCGAGTAGAATACTTTCCGAAACACCTTTCAATGGATCGTATTCGGAATGAGCAGCTGCTTCTATTAATACATCGACTGTTTCTTCAAATGATGATTTCATTATTGGACTAAGATCTTCTCGATTAATTCCATGTCGAGTAATGGACATAAGATGTCCTTTTGTTGTCATAATATCACATAATAAAGCCAAATGACGATTGTTAACATAGGATCCATCAAATGAAATAACATGATTCATTTCATATTCAATCGATTTACGTGCACCTTCAATACCAAAAACTTTGAAGATTTCAATAATATCATTTGTATATGTTCGACGATAATCAACATCTTTCATTGAGAGAACATCTCTTAGTGATGTTCCATCAGTCACCAAAAAACGTTCAGCTGCTGGTTCGATTGTACCATTTTCATTAATAACAAATCGTTTTTTTGAATTATATTGAGTATTTGTCTTTGGATCAACAATGTAGACTTTCAAAATTGATTTAATTCCTAATGAGAAAAATATAGTAGAAGAAAAAAAGAAATCATATTTTTAACCTTTCAATGTTAAATTGGAAAGCACCTTTTCTTCGAGAAATCGAAGAAAATTTTCATCATCTAATTGATTTATATTATCTTCTTCGAGTGTTTCGTCAATATCAATTGTTGATTTAGTCTGATCAACAATTCTAATACGTAGAATAAGTTTTTCTGCATTATCATCACTGAAAATAACACTAAGATCATCACCAAACTTTTCTGAAATCTTCTCAGATATTTGTTCCATTGTCAAATTTTTATCAATAATTTTCTTTAGATCGAGTTCAATACGTAATAACCATGGAGAAAGTTTTGAAATATTCTCATTAGATATTTCATAATAAATATCAATCCATTGTTGATCTTCTTCAATAATTGTTTTCTGTGGATAAGGATCATAATATATACTTGTATTAGCTATCATTTTTCCTAATGAACAATGTTCAATATGAGACAAGACTTGTTTACATTTGTTGATATCATTTGATGTTTGATCAGTAAGAAAAACAGTCATTGATGGTGTTTTTGGTGTTTTAGAAAGATTAATAATTTCTTTGAGACGAGGAACACCGAGTGTAACATTTTTAGCTGATACACCAGCATAATGAAATGTATTCAATGTCATCTGTGTAGCTGGTTCACCAATAGATTGTGCAGCAAGAATGCCAACCATTTCACCTGGTTGAATTTGAGCTTGTTGAAAACGTGTTTCAATTTCTCCACATATCCAATTAAATGCTTCTGCAGTTAGATGATGAACTTGAAGAACTTGTCGTGAACAAAGTGATGAACGAATAAGAATATTCATTAACATAGTTGCATTATATTGAGCTTCTTGAGAAAGACGATCATTACCTTTGATAATAATCAAACGTTTAATTAATTCTTCTAAACCTTGAATAACTTCTATTGGAGAAAGATTTGATCGAGTTTTATTCGATATATTAAATATTTTTCGAGCATT